TGTGTGTGTGTGTGTGTGTGTGTGTGTGTGTGTGTGTGTGTGTGTGTGTGAAATATCCCCAAACAAGTTTCCAAAAATAGACTTGTGACTGAGACCTGATTGCATTTCTGGCAGAGCCATTCTTCGGTGAAGATAACAGTCTCGAATCTGCTGGATCTCTCAGCTCCACAGGCTTTGGCAAAGGACGGAGGTGAGGGGATTGCAGAATTCACTCAGCACGCAGCTCGCTGTCATTACTGCGGTGATAAATTTGCTGGTTTTGGCCTGGGTTCCTGGACACATCCCCTTCCAGAGGTATGGAAAAGAGATGAAACGGAAATAGAGAACTCCCAGCCGGAGGCAGGAGATGGTCTGGGAGGGAAGCAGGGAGCCCACACCGGGGGCAAAAGCCGAGAGGGACAGGGGAGGAGGGATGGCTCTGGTGGTAGGTAGTTAGTGGTTTTCCCTCCGGTAACTTACAAGAGCACATGCTAGGAACACCTCTCTCTTTTCCATCCAGTGGGTGGCAGTGGGGTCTCCTAGGAGCACCCCAGAGCAGATGTGTGGCCGTGACCTACCCAAGCAGGGCACATGGCTTCTCCATTACCGAGCAGTTTGCAGGTACCATTGTCAGGTGGAAGCCAAACTGATCCCATACACCGATAATCAGTTTTGGGGATGCGACAATTTCTTTAAACCCCACCCGGTTCTGTGTGTGTGTCAGGATGAGATCACACACGGAGGGACAGGAGAGCTGGCTGCTTCAGGCTGCCTTGCGATGTCTGTGTCACTACCAAGCAACACACACTTATCACTTGTCTACTATGTGTTAGGCACCACTGTGTCCAAGTGCTGTGGAATATACAAACAGGAGGGAAACTCCATCCTGGCCTAAGGAAGTTAGCACGACACTGAGATCAGCAAATAGTTCTTTGTTTTCAGTGCTGGACCCATGGCTGGCCTTGTTCTATCATTATGGTTGGTGTGCTAGTTTGCTGTTTTACTAAAATAAAACACCAGAGGATAACCAACCCAGTAAAGATAAGAGGTTCCTTTAGCTTACAGCTTTGGAGCATGAAGGCCCAAACAGCATGGTGCAGGTCCTGGCAAGGGCCCCCTGGCTGATGACGGTGGTGGGAGGGTATGGGAAGAAGACATCAGATTGCCAAGCAGGAAGCTGAGAGAGGCCTGGGTCCCACATCCCTTCCGAGAGCATGGCCTGAGGACCTAAGGACTTCCTACCAGCTCCCACCTTCCAACACTTGCTGAAGACCAAGCCCACTAATACATGAGCCCACAGCAACTGATTTTCTCTCTCTCTCTTGGTGTTTTGAGACAGGGTCTCACTATGTAGTTCAGACTGGCCTTGAACTCCCTATGTAGCCCAGGCTGGCCTTGAACTTGCAGTGATCCTCCTGCCTCAGCCTTCTGAGTGCTGGGATTATAGGCGTGCGCCACCATGCCCAGCTTGGCCTGTTCTTCTACTGAGTCTGAGCCCTGATCTTCAACACAGTATACCAGGCAGCTAGAACCAATCACCTGGACTTGCCATTCAGTTATACTAGGAAACAATTACAAATGTAGAGGTAGCCAGGGATGAGTTCGAATCCCAACTCTCCTACCTTAGTGGAGTGAATTACTGAACTACACAAGAGTGTCAATATCATCACTTGAAAAATGAGAATAATAATATCGCCACAATAACATCCGTTTTACCAGATCTCAAGATTCTTGGGAGGAGGCATACGTGATATGCCACACAAGCTTAGTTTTCAAGGCACTTTCAGACACTGAAAGGATACCACCTTATTAGAATAACGGGCACTGAAGGCCAAGCTGCTAATGCCAATTCAATGGTAGGGGTTAGGTGGTTTAGGTTTTAGGGTTAGGGTTTTTGGTTAGGGTTTAGGCAGGGAAGGTGGTTTAGGAAATACAATCTTATGAAAGGTGAGGCTGAAGGAGCTTCAGGAGGAGCAGGGTGCTGTGATGGGGGTGGAAAAGCATTCCAGCCAGAGAACTGCTGGGACAGCAGGGCACAGCTGCCAGGCAGACACGGACCAGGACCCGGGCTGAGGGTAAGGCTGGGAGCCTGAGTGGGGTCCATCCTGAAGCCTGGGCTCCTAGGTAACTGCTAGGGGCTCTGGTTCCAGGTAAAATCTAGTTTTCTGTTGGACTACACTACTTTAGTGTCCCAATAAACTGGAAATAAACATCAGTGGTTGG